CAACTTTGTTGTTCTCTCTACAACAGTAGTATCAACACTGTTAATTAAACCAGTAATCATAGACATCGTACCTGTTTTCTTACCCTGAACCAGTACCAATGCTCTTTTAGTAACCTTCTAGATGCTATCTGAGAAAACTATTGAATGTCCACACTCATCAAGCTGCCCAACAGAAATAAGGTTCTTCTTCAGTTCAGGAATGTGTTTGGCTTTTTGCAGAGTCCACTTGTTTTTATGTGGAAGTGAGATGTCAATATCTTCCATTCCTACCATGTTCAGAGCTTCCTCATCTGCCAGATATACTTTCTCAAAGTCAACTGCAACATTCGTATCAATTCCTGATGGAAAGTTGTATGAAAAGAAACCCTTGAATTCAGTGTCTAGTCATCAACAGAACTATGAACTGCCAACAGTAGTGCATCATGTGATTTTATAGTTACCACATTTGCACTATCATTCTCCTTCTTCTTATGATTCCTGTAGTTCCTCTTTATGTGGTTAGTTTTGCCACAATTCCAGCAAATTACTTGTTTAACAAGCCTTGACTTGCTCCTGCTTCTGTTCTTTGATTTTGATCTTCCCCTATTTGAGTTTCTGTTATGTGATCTTCCTCTGGAATCAATATTTATTGTTGAACTCGAACCTAAGATTTTTCTAGAATTTTTTCTGTGCACCTCCTCAACCAAAATTAAATCACGAATATCTTCATATATCAATTTTGATTTACTTGCAAAATTATTGGCAACCATCCTCATAGCTTCCCAGCTATTTGACAATAAAGTCAATAAGATAAGTGCATGTATCTCATCATCAAATTCAATTTCTATAGACAATAATTGATTTGTGATAGCATTGAAATCATTTAGGTGTTGTACAATAGACGTACAGTCCGTCATATTCAAATTGAATAACTTCTTCATTAGATATACCTTATTATTCGCCGATGACTTTTCATACACACCTGACAGGGTTGTCATAAGATCTGTAGTCGTCCTCTCCTTGACGACGTTGTGTGCAACAGACCTCAATAGGGTCAATCAAATAACCCCTAGAACCTTTCGATCCAATAAATTTCATTCAGCTTCATCCATTCAGTCAGGTTTTTTTCCCAATAACTAAAGATAGAGTTTCTTCCCATAGAGGTAATTCTCTATCTGCTCCTCTAATAACCAAAATCTATGCCATCAAATTTCTCGATCTCTGAAACCTTCACTTAATCTGCAACCATTAGCTATGATACCAGTTGTTGTGGTATATAGAAATAGAACGATCGACGACGAAGCAAAAAATAGAACGAGAAAATTCACACAAAAAAAACACACATATTTACATGGTTCGACAAATTAGCTACATCCTTAGAGTTGCAAAGGATTTTACTAATTGAGGAATTTACATCAGTCTAATCACAATGACAATTATAGGAGAAATCTCTCCTCTCATTCTCTCTCTCCTTCTCTCTCTACACTGAGATACACCGAAGAAGAAAAGCACTAGGAGAGAACAACACCTTGCGATACTCCTTCCCGTAAGCAGAACACCAAAAATACCAAGGTAGAATCAGTAGCATGCAATACCAAATTTTCTTCTGCTTGGTTCGGTCACGTGAAGAAGAATGTTTTTTTCTTCTACCACTTGCTACCTCTCAAAATGTTGCAAACAGATGAAGAATTCAATGACATAAAATATATTTAATTCTTCTCTTTTGCTTGCATTTATGATGGCGGGCCCAACCAAAACAAAAGTTACTCCTCTTCCAAGGAATGAGAGGCGTGAACAGTTAGGCGACAAGTAAATTGTTTTTTTTTTTCATTTTTGAATTGGGCTCCACCACAACAGGTTTTCGAGGCAATTCGGGTCCAGATCGAGTTCATTGCTATAGCAGTCCACTATTTTTTTAGTCTTGTCTTTTCGATCATGAAAAAGTCTATTCTTAGATAATTTTGATGCCCAAACTCTACAGCTAAGACGGGTTTGCAAAATGACATTGTTTCGAGTGATTTTAGATGTGATTGGAGGATTTTTAACATATCTTTGCATGTTGCCTCAAATTATGCGCCCCCTCGAGATTTATGCCACATTGATTTATGTTTCATCGACTCACATATAAAATGAGTGTCCTATCTAGTTAGTTTTGATGTTTCAGACACATTGGCTTAGCCTTTTTTCCGAACATAGCTCTTTTGAGCTATTTATACGATTATTAAAGTGATTTTTGACTAAATCACGACCATCTCGCAGGCAACCTATTATTTTCTTGTTGTCTTTTCGATCATAAAAAGTCTATTCTTTATAATTTGGATGCTATAAACTCAACGTCGAAGATTGTTTTGCATATTGATATTGTTTCAAGTGACTTTTGATATAATTGGTGGATTTTGACCTCAATAATATCATTGACAAAAGAATTATATACCTTAGATCTTTTAAAAGCGCGACTCAAACTGAATAATATGAGAATAGTCGCATATGCAACATCATAGTAAAGGGACATGGAAAACGTGATACACATCTGTAAGTCTCAGAGGAAAGAGCAAAATATTTATAAATATCATGATGTCATTATGTAATCCTCAACTGAACATGAAAAGGAGTAGATTGTGGTTTTTGAAATATCTCACGCCAATGTTTTTCCTATTTTATATTACATAATAGATCCTTAAATATGTTAGTTTTGATCAACGATAAACACATATTTCCAACTCATTTTAAGTATTCTCTCTTATAAGTTGCACAAATTCGATCTACTATTATGAGATGATGAATATTTATGTGACATATAATAAAACTAATTCCAGGAGATATTACCATGAGTTGAAGATGTTTTATTTTAAGTTATAATTGTTAGTTTTTACTAACCACACAAATTGTATAGCTTGAGAATTTTTTGTTCAAAGTCATTGGCTCTTAATTGAAGAGCAAGAGGAAGAAGAAGAATGTGAATAAGTATTCTCTTTTGATTGAAGAAGGGAGGTGGAGTAGAAAACCCAAGGATCAACGGCAATGTTTCGAAAAAAAAAAAAGAGGCTTGATGACTATGAGTTTGGTGTTTGTAAGAGGAGACAAAGAAGAAGTGGAAAACAACATAGCTGGCTCGAATTAATTGTGGGTTTGTGATTTGCAAGATTAGGGTAAGGGAAGGTAACAACAAATGGTTTGCGAGAGAGGAGGCTTGAACAAGAGAGATTTCGATTGAGAGCATAGAGTTTGTTTCGGCTTGTATCACTTTCAATAGCTATTTGAAAGAGACTTTTAATAAATTTACAACTGGATTTATTGAATTTGGTCAACTGGAAAAATGCAAACGATCAGTAAATGCAACTGTCTTCAATTCAACCAAGTGCTAATTTACTAAATCCAAAATTTACAGATTTATTACAATGGCAAGTACTACCACTAGAGCACTGGTGCATCGTCCATTCATTCTTCATATATCCTGATGATGCACTTGTATTTAGGGTTTCTTTTATTTTTTTGTTTTTTTTTTAATTTTTTTTGGGAAGAAAGCTTTCTTGTTACAACATAATATTCGAGAGGAATTGAGGAGACCTCTGGATGCTTTGTAAAGGAAACGTGGCAATTTTTGGTTCCATCTTCTTTTATTTGTTTATTTGAAAGAATACAATTTATTCAGTATTTTAGGGTTTTAGTTGCACTCGGAATTTACATTTAATAAGATTTAGTAAATGTGGTACATCTAGATATATCAAATCCATATATTGTTAAATCCAAAAAAATATTTGGTTTAGGTGATATAAACTCCAGTAAAAATTGTGAAACAATTTGGCATTTTATTTCAGGTTCTTATAGTCATGATTTTCTTCCCAAGTTAAACCCATTAAATCCACCAAATAGTTGAATTTAACTGTAGACAAACAAAATGTGTCTGGACTTATCCCGATGAGATTTGACAGTCTAGAAGAAAGAAAATACATCAAAGGACGGCTCACTGATAGAAAGCTCGGAGGCTCGGAGGCCCAATTGTCCGACAAGATGTAACAAAGATAAGACATTCCAAGTTATAAAGGCAACCAAGTGCCTTAACCTAAGCGGTTAAGACAAAATTGAGACAAAGAAAAATATAAGCCTACCACCATGATGAGACCGGCCCAAGGGACGAGCTAATCCCACGAGTCCTGGAGTTATATCAGGGACATGCAACAGTCTCCAAATATTATCAAGAGTTAATATCGAGTTTTAGTTATTCATCAGGATCTCTTTGTCAAACGGTAGCTTCCAATGATTCATTCTCTACCTAATAGTCTAGTAACACTTTGGAGACATGAATCTAGCTCTCACTAGAGATCACAGGCCGATGAGGCCGATGATCAGGCTTGCCTAACTGGTCGGTGAAGATTAGTTCACCAAATCAGTTCTGCCGACTCCAAACCAATTGAGACTAGCCAAGCGATGTCAATTGACAGTCTAGCGGCCAGACTGACCTCGCCAAGCCAAGGCTTCGTAAGCCTAGCCAGTTGAGTTAAAGAGCAGCTAAACCTTGGGCTCACTTTTTTGAAATATCTAGAATATCCTGTAACACCCTATTAAAGTAGGTTTACTAGCAAAATTTAACCATATTATATTATATCCTTTATAAATAGAAAGAAATCATGAAAAAGGGGTTATGCACTATTCTTTATTACCGTGCACTATTCTCTCACTCTCTCTCTCCTCTACTCCCACCCACTACTGCCTTGAAGTGTGGTTCACTTGGTTCACGGGCAAATTCGGATTCAACATTAACCGATCCGAATTTTCATCCAAAAATAAATGGAAGACAGAGAAACATGGATTTAACCAAGTGATGGTTTTTACTTTCCGTTTTTTAACGTTTGGCTGGGTTTACCATAAATCCAATCTAAATCCTGTTAAATTTATGCTACCAAACACCCCCAAAAAGCAATCTTTAAAGAGCGCCTGGAGCAAACTCAATACTTTCTTCTCACGATTGGCAATCAGTCAAAATTTAAACAAGACTGCACTGAAAGAAAGCGTAAATGTACCTTGGAAACTCTGTGAGCCACTTGATCGCTATCTGATTCTTCTCCGAACGTGTTGATAAAACTTCCCATTACAACTGTAAGAAGCGGCCTGATAGCTCCATTTGCCAGCGCTCCAGCGGTGCCCAGACTCATCAGAATGATATCTGTTGAATCCGCGAAGGAGAACAACTTATAGAGTGGAACAACTTCACTCCTCTGTTCTCCTTTCTTGCCATCTTCTACTTCCCTCTTAATTTCGTTGCGCTTTCTTTTTGCATTTGTCGAGAATGAGTTCCTCCAGGAAGTTGGAGCCATTGAATTTCGGAGATCATGATCAGTGGGAGATTCACCAATTTTACCCTTCATCTTCCCCTTAAGTTTTGCAAACTAAAAATAATGTATAGGCAACTGAAAAACTTTGCTAAAGCTTGCATTTTGATAAGCATATATATACATATATAGATAGATAGATGGATAGATATAAAAGAAGAATCAAAGAAGCTCACCAGCGACGGAGGATTCTCAAATTATTACTGGAGGTGTGCTACTTAAAAATTGAACAATCGGCAAAGTTTATCTCTTTATTTGTTTCTTGCTCATTCATTCCCTTGTTCTCCCTCCAGTTGACAATTTAAATTATTAATATTAATACTACTCCATCCATAAATTTTATAAACTATAAATTATACCAAATTCTGACTCGATTGAAATACTAACACATTAAACAATTTGAAGAATCTATTTGTCTTCTCTCTTGGGATTACTTTTGAGCTGTTTTTTTTTTTAATTTCTTTTATTTTTTTTAAGTAAATAAGTTTTGATCACGAGACTTTTCAATGCTACATCTAATCATCAAACCACCATCCCATCTGATCGGTTTATTTGAGTTATTTTTCTGAAGATTAATATAATATAACTTTAATATATAAAATTTGTATTTATTCAAATGACTTCTGAAATTTTTATAAAAAATAAACATCCTTTTAATGCAAATATGAAAATTCATATTTGACGAATTTATTTTTAGGAGTCACATCAGAGATTGCTACAATAATATCTCTTATTATATAACATCTCTTATTCAACGTAATTAAAATAAGATTTCCCTCCGCTTTCATGCTTCTCCTCTTATATATCATCTCTAATTACCAGAGAAAAATATTTTTGTTGCTTTGAACCGTGCATCATGGAAAACTCCTGATGCAAATATGGCAGCCGAGCAAATAAAACTGATTTGGTCACCTTAGGTGGGCTGATGGGGAGAGAAATCTAAACCTCCAACTCACCAAGCCGGCTTTGAATTCTTATTTTTAATTTATATATTCTGGTGGCCTCATTCGGAGAAGACGACGAATATCTTGATGAGTATTTTACAAATGCTAAAATTGTTGATGTGTTCCTTCTATTTCTGCTTGCCACTGATCTAACCTATTGTTATTTGTATATATGTGATGATATTCGCACGTTCTTCGTTAGACTGATTCCAGATGGCTCATGTTCATCTGTAAACTGTGGATGGATGTATTTAATTTTGGTTTGGAGTGGATAAATGGAGCTTATGTCCAGCCCAAGCAACCGAATAAAGCTTTTACTAATGGTTGAAGATCTTAAATATTTGGGAATGCATGGCAAAATGGAAGCTGCAATATTTTTAAAGCTACAATATTGTTAACTTTATGGAAGTTGGGTTGATAGGATCTTGATATAAAAACATTAGCCGCTCACTTGCCCCTTCATCCTAAATCTATAGCCGCTGATTACCCTTCTTATCTTCTTCTTCGTCATCAAAGCTGATAGGATCGGTATGATTTGAATGTTTGATCTAATCATTCTTTTTTAATTTAAGTTCGAGGTATTAATTTTATTTGTTTAGTTATATTTGATTTTAATTAATTACTCTTAGAGTGAAATGGAAAATTTCCTCTCTCTCTCTCTCTCTCTCTCTCTCTCTCTCTCTCTCTCTCTCTCTATTAGGGGTACGGTTGTCAAAGAAGCTCGTTGGACGCGAACAGTCAGTGTTTGGTTCATCAATGAGTTCGTATTTGATTCGTTCTATAAGTAAACGAGAAGAATGTGAACAAATTCTTTTCGCTCGGTTAGTTAAGCGAACCAAACACGAACAGTGATGCGTTCGTTTGTGTTTGAAATGTAAAATAATTCTAAAATAGTTTAAATTAATTATATATTTAAAATTTATGATATTTTAAAAAATTAAATTTTATAAATTATAATATATAATAAATTAATAATAAAAATATATTAATATACTATATTAGTATATGCCAAACACGAATAAATATTTGTCCGTCCGTACTTGACTTTTTTGGTTTGAAATAATTAAATAATAAAATAGTTATATTTATTTATATCTTTTTATATTAATTTTCGGCTGGTTCGTTAAGAAACGAACACGAACAGTGACTTCACAAACAATTTCGAATAATAGCTTATTTCAAACAAACTAAATTTCGAAGGAACCGAACACAAACACAAGCTTTATTCGTTCGTGTTCAGTTCGTTTACACCCTTAATTAGAGGTGTAAACGAGAGCTCTTGTTCGGCTCGTTTGTATTTAAAACTCAAAAAGTACGTTCGTGTTCGACTTGTTTGTTTAGTGAGCTGAACACGAGCTGTTCACGAACAAAGTGCATTTTGACAACCTTAATCACGTAGTCATAAGATGTTAAGGGTAGGGGCAAGATTTAAAAATTATTGTTTATATTAAAACATAATTTAAATTTATTTTAATAATTTTTATTCTATTTTTTTAATTAGCACTTTTAATTGATTAAAAATCTTTATAGCCTTGTAGCCAAATAAATTTTTTTAAAATAGTACATATATATAATTGATGAGTAGTATTTCGAGCCAACACGAACCGAATATTAACGAACAAATCTTTGTTCGTGTTCGGCTTGTGAACTTAGCGAACAAGCCAAACACGAGCTATTCACGAACAACGAGCCGTTTTGACAACCCTACTCTCTATATATATATATATATATATATATATATATAATGCGAAAACAACGCTTCCTTAATTGATATACGCTGACGGGGACGAAAATTTTACTAGCACTACACGAGGAGAAAGAAAGATGATATGGGGTTGCAACTCAATACTTCTCAACAACATAAACCCCTCTTTTAGTCTCTTATAAGCCTTGTGTCTTTTTTTATAGAAGAGGACGAGCATATAAGAAAATAAACCAAAAAAAATCAATTAAAATAAAATCCATTAAATACAATAATCTCCATTGCATCTCTTAATTCAAAATAAGTGAGAGATGACCAACTGAGCTCCAACCTCAAATCAGCTGCACCAAGATGGTTGCCTACATATCCCCCTCACGAAGGGATCAAACCTCACGTAGTTCTTCAAAATGTCCAACTGAGCAATGAGTCATAATATCGGATGTTCCCCAAACTCTTGCAATAAGTAAACTTTTGAACCGGTAGTACCTTCGTGAGCATGTTCGTTGGATTTTCCTTCGTATATATCTTTTTTAATAGAACTTTTCCTTCTTTAATCAAGTTCCAAACAAAGTGTTACCTCACACCAATGTGTTTTGAACAAGCATGATGAACTAGATTTGTAGTTAGGAATATTGCACTTTGACTATCACAAAACACCATCAGAGACTCTTAATCAATTCCCAAGTCATTCAATAGGCTTTGTATCCATATTGTTTCTTTCATCGACTGTGCGACTATCATATAATCAGTCTCCGTAGTAGACAAATCAATAATAGACTGAAGAATTGACCTCCTACAAATATGAACAAATAGCCCATCATAGATCTCCACTCTCCACTTATTCATATTACCTGCATAATCCGAGTTAGTGTAAAGTACACAAAAATCTACATTGGACGATTGCCTCTCAAACACCAAGCCAATATAAACTGTGCCCTTCAGATACCTCAAAATACTTTTTACAGTATGTCAATGACTTCTTCTTGGATCATACATGAACCTGCTCACAACACCAACTGCTTGTGCAATGTCTGGTCTAGTGCAAATCATGATATATATCAGACTGTCCACTACATTAGCATAAAGATTACCTGATCACATATCTTTATTCTCCTGATCATCTTTAGGACACAGATCTAAACTCAACTGAAAGTGAGATGCAATTGGTGGACTGACTACCTTACCTGAGTCATCAACCCAAATTGTTTCAACACATTCCAAACATAAGCTCCTTACAAAAGTCAAACTTTTGCAGTTGCCTTGTCTCTAAGAAGCTCCTTGCTAAAAATTCAACAAGCTTCCCCCAACTCCTTCATTTTAAAATGTTTGGAAAATTAATTCTTCATCCTATTAACCTCAATTTGACTGAAATATACATCAACATATCATCAATATATAAAAACAAGTAAATGAACTCATCATTGGTCAAATTCTTAAAATATGCACAATGATCATATTAGCTTCTTGTGTACGTTTGTCCCCTCATGAACTGATCAAATTTTTAATACCACTGCTGAGGTGATAGCTTCAACTTTTACAACGACTTGTCCACTTTGCAAACCAAGTCTTTTAATGTTTTATATTTAAGTGGCTGCAACTTATAGATCTTCTCTTGCTATTAATCTGCATAGAAATGCAGCCTTCATATCGAGCTATTCCAAGATCAGAATATATTGTACTACAAGTACTAAGAGAACACAGATTGAGGGATGCTTGACCGCTAAGAAGAACACTTCTTCATAATTAATCCTTCTGATTGGACAAAGTCTTTTGCCACTAATCTCGTCTTGTACCGCACATCAACTCTGTAAGATCCTTTATTCTTTGCATACACCCATTTGCACCTGATGGCTTTCCTTCCTGGAGGAAGCTTCTCCAACTCCAAGAACCATTCTTCTGAAGATACTTCATCTGTTCATTCATTGCTACTCTCCACATATCACAGTTTCTGCTCTCCACCACTTCTTTGTAGTGATTAGGAATTTCTCTCACTACGACTGAAAGTGCAAATGTAATGTGATCCCTCAACCAAGCTGGTTTTGAGACATTCTAATGTTTGATCTTGCTCTTAGCAATAAATTCCTAAGCAGGATTCTAAACCTCAACATCTTCTTCCACCTCCTTCTGAGAACTATGAACAAATATCCCCTGAGCTGCAATTGAATCAGATATTTGAATCGGGTGGGGGGGAACAAATGGAGTCGCATTAAACTTCAACTTATGCTGCATATTTGTGGTCTCAATACAACTTTCCAGCTGCTTTGAGTCACGATTTTTCAACAAGCTCGCCTCGTCGAATGTAACATCCTTGCTAATGACAATCTTTCTTTCTGATGAATCATATAACTTAAAGCCCCTGACTCAACGCCTATAGCCAATAAAGATCGTCTTTATTTCTCGTGGTTCCAATTTATCATTTTGCACGTGATAATAAGCTGGGCACTCAAACACTCTCATGTGCTCATAATCTCTAGTAGAATATCCTGACCACATCTCATTTGGGGTCTTCTTCCCAATAGCCACTGAAGGCAAACATTTCACTAAGTGAGAGGCATATTCTATTGCCTCGGCCCAATAACTTCTATTCAACCTAGCATTGG